AAATTCAAATGTGGCCACGCTCCCGGACGTTTTGGGGGCATGGCTTTAAAGCTAAAGATCGCACACTATAAAAAGGCAACCTCGGCACTTGTTAGGCGCCCTAGTGTGGTTCTTGTTTGAGTCCCCTAGTGCTCTGTATTTCTGATTGTCTTTTTGGTATCTGGCTCTTGGCTTACACTCTGACTATTCTGTTCTCTGGTTTCCCATTGTTTTGGCTTGGATTATCGTGTGCCCGTCTTCTGTATTCCCTTGACCTCTGGCCATTCCTTTGACTACTCTCAGACGCAAGTCCGCCTCTGGGTTTCACTCTGTCGTGACATTACACTAGCGCCATGGACCCTGCAGGTGTAAACCCTCTTGGGCCGGTACCTGATGACCGGTTTGAAGAACTGGACCATCGCATGGACCAGTTCGCTATTGCTGTATAGACCTTGCTAGCACGTACTGCCCATCTCCAACTGGAGGAGCAAATCTTAGCCCATAGTCCTCAGGAACAACCTATGGAAATGGTTGCTGTGGGTACTCTCAATCACGCAACCTCCCCTCTCCATTATGGGGGAGATCCTAAAGGTTGCCGGGGTCTCTTAAACCAAGTTAGTATTTATTTCGAGCTTCATCCGAGAGCATATCCTACGGATAGGACAAAGATTGGTTACATAATCACCTTGTTGATCGATAGTTTGGGCTAATACCTTATGGGAGAACGACAACCCGATAGTATTTAACTATGCAGAATTTGTTGCAGCTTTTAGGAGGACTTTTGATCACTCCAGGGAGGAGGACTAATGCTGCCAAGACCTTGTTACGTATGAGACAGGGGGTCTCGTTCTCTTGTTGGTTACGCTCTAGAATTCCGTACGCAAGCTGCCGAAGTTAGATGGAATGAACAAGCGTTTGTTGATGTATTCATGAACGGGCTTTCTGATAAACTCTTAGATGAGGTAGCCACCAGGGACTTACCGAATGTGCTGGAAGAATTGATCACATATCTTGCCCACATTGATGAGCGCCTCCGACATAGACAGAACACCAGAGATAGACCTAGACGGGTGCTGGAACGCTTGGCATTGACTTACCCTTCTTCCGAGACAACAGCAGTCACTCCCCCAGAACCTATGCAATTGGGAGTTACGCGTTTGTTTGAGACTGAAAGACAATACCGTCGTAGGGAGGGACTATGCCTATATTGTGGTAGAAAGGGTCATTCCCGCTCAACCTGTCCCAACCAGCTGGAAAACAACCGCACCTAAGCCCTAAAGGAGGACAGGCCTTGGGTGTAATGTGTATGTCCTCCTTTAATGATAAGAAAGATCATAGGCTTCTTTTACCAGTAGTTATTGAATGGGAAGGAAAGAAGGTGCCAACCATTTCCTTGATAGACTTTGGGGCGGCCGAGAATTTTGTTGATCGCAAATTCGGTCAGAAATATGCTCTCCCATTTCAAAATAGATCAACACCCTTGGCCGTTGAGGCCATAGATGGTAGACCACTGTCAATCCCTTTTATTACACAAGAGTCTAATCCAGTGGTATTCTCTGTAGGTTCCCTGAATAGGGAGGTTATAATCCTGCAACAAGTCACTTCTCCCATCTTTCCTGTTATCCTTGGCTTTCCCTGGCTCTCTAAACATAATTCTTCTGTAGACTGGGAGAAAAAAGAGATTTTAAAATAGGGTGTGTGACGGTATCACTGTCAAGCATTCCATTCTTCCCATAAAAAAAAAATCACCCAGTAATCCACTGGAATAAATACCGCTGGTATCGCCAAATAATCCACACATGAGCCAAAGCTTAATGCTGGAAAAAGACTGATTTACTGGAAGCAACAGGCATCCAATTTATACAGTAACAGACTCCTCCTCTGGGCCAGGCTAGATAATTCAGTTTCAGCAACATACTAAACTCAATTATCTGCTGGCCAGAAACATTACAATTTTCAACATTTTTAGAAAAGTACTTTCTATAACACATACAAATATAATATATCCCTGGGTAGCTGAGGATACTGGGAGTCACATATCCAAATCTCACGAATTTCCGTTTGGTAGTTTCCGTGTCGCATCGTGTGGAAGTTTGACCGGTTCGCCATGTGGAGGTATCCGATTCAGAGTTCCATGAAATCAGCAGCAAGAGCCGGTCTCCGTTCGCGTCTAATTACACGAAAACTACCGTTCGTATGGTGCAGCTTGTTACATGCGAATGCTCCCCTTGTTCGGTAGGTTCTACCTCCCGAATGCTGGTTTGATTCATGGAGTGGAAAGTTATCAGCCAGGACTCCCATGAGGACCGGGCGTTCGCATGTTTGCCATGCCGAAAACAGTTCCAGGCAATTCATGCGTAAGCCGCGCTGACCGCTTTCATGAGGTTTAAGATGGCTGCCATCCTTTGTTCTCGCCACATGTTCGTATGCCGAATGGCGGCCATCTAGGAGAAATTAAGTTGCAGTTTCTCAACGTTCCAAGTTCTAAATGCTACCCAGGGTGGTCTCTGTTCGGTAGACAAATACATTGTTCAAATACATAGAAAAAAACTAACCGATTACAAGCATTTAAACAGCAGGGAGAGGATAAAACCGAAGGCACACAGGTAAGTACATGAAAATCCTTTACAGGGTGATACTTGTCTTAGAAAGTGTATTACTCCAATTAAACACGCAGGCTTACTTAATGTGCCTACTATGGAACCTTTAACCACTCAGATACCCAAAAAATATTTGGATCTTAAAGCTGTTTTCAAACCACGAGAAGCCGAACAATTACCTCCGCATCGGACATATGACTGTCCCATTGACTTATTACCTGGCACTATGCCCCCTAGAGGCACAGTCTATCCTCTCTCTGTGGCCGAGAATAAAGTACTAGAAGATTACTAAATCTTCCTCTCCAGCTGGCGCTGTTTTTTTTTTTTTTTTCAAAAAGGAGGGGGATTTAAGACCCTGTATTGATTATCGAGGTTTAAACAAAATAACTATACATAATGCTTATTCTATTCCATTGATTACAGAACTTTTCGATAGATTAAAAGGGGCGACAATATTTACTAAATTGGATCTGCGGGGAGCATAAAATTTTGTCAGAATTAAGAAAGGGCATGAATGGAAGACTGCTTTTAATACTCGTTATGGTCACTACGAGTATCGGGTCATGCCCTTCGGGTTATGTAATGCCCCAGCAGTCTTTCAAGACTTCATTAATGATGTTTTAAGAGAGTATTTACAGATGTTTGTAATAATCTATTTAGACGATATCCTAATCTAGAACAAGGAAATGTACCGGTGCAGCGCTTATGTGAACAGAAATAGATATGGAATAAAATTTAATATCAGGGTCTATACCTTAAATTTCAATGTTCTCTTTTTGTATTATTAACCCTTCTGTGTGTACCTTTAAACAAAACATAGAAAAATACACAACATAGTGTAATCTGTATAATACAAGGGAATAGATTTAGAACAAATGCCAAATGGCAACTTACACTTTTCTGAGCTAACAAATTTAGCTCAGATGCTTGCGCTTTGGGGTCCGTTAAGGCAACCCTTTCCCTTCTTTGTTATCCAGTGGTCCAATACTAAATAGGCATTAGTGTAATATTGTCTAAATTTTACGCAAAAATTAAGTATAGTGAATTTTTACTCACAAACCCAGAGCCAGAAATTAGGCTCACTTCACTTCGTGTATGTGGTTAAGGACCACACTCCTTCTTTCAGTAAGCAGGAAAAATGCCGTAAGTGTATATAAAAAGTATTTTATTAACTCTATAAAAATTTATTATATAACAAAAATCTTTAAAATATAACACATCCGGCTAAAGTCCAAAATAGAAAGTCTCTATGCTCACTTCTTTCCTCCAGAACGCGTTTCGCCAAAGGGCTTCTTCAGCTGGAAAAATTTTTCAAGTTGTTCCTGTGGACCCTTTTCCTGCTTTAAATGTCCTTGTAATCAGAAGAATCAGCTGTATAGGCTTGTAAATTCGCGGGTTTTCTCCATGGTAACGGAGATACCCTGCGTTCCAAGCCTCGTTTTGATCAGTTTCATTTCCGCCATGTATAGCGATACGTCACTTCCGGTTTTGGCTATGCGTTCCACAGTGCGTTCCACTGTGGATTTCGACTTTTGTTTAGTCCATAATCTTGTTCCACGATCGTTTTACATTATGTGGAACAGGAAAACATTATAATAGCCAGTTAATCATTACCACCTAGGCTTAAATTGGATTTCATAATAACATTAAAAACATCTATGTTTGGCACATATATAGAAATAAAGAGATATAATATGTAACATAATTTCTATGTAGTCCAGCTTTCTGTAATTCATAAAAATAATTAATCCAGATAAATTATTATCATTTAAACTCCCTTTTATTAATTAATACACAGCACTAAAATATTAAATAAATAAATTACTTATAAACTATATTTAGATAAGAATATATATGTATAAAACCTTGATGTGTAACCTATACTAAAATGATTTTATTAAAAATATACAAAATCATAAAATGGTACCATTAAAAAATTTATATAAGAAAATGACACATTTCAAAGTCTGAGTTAAGACCATTCGGGAGGAGACTGTTAAGTTTGAATATCCATTCCATTTCTATTTTACTTGGTTTTAAACTGAAATTTCCTCCTCTCCAATCTTTAGTTATTTTATTAATTCCTAAAAAAAGTAGTACCTTTTAGATCACAATTGTGGTGAATTTTATAATGCAACGACACACTATGATTTTCAAAACCTTTGCTTATATTTCTACCATGCCCTTCTATTCTTACTTGTAAAGGTCTAGTAGTTTTTCCTATATAGTTTAACCCACAGGGACATTGATGTGGATATCAATCAATAAATTGATTATCTTGTGTATCTGCCCCTGGCCAAATTAAAGTAATAGTGTGTGCACGCTCCTGAAGTAATTCACACCAGACACAAGTTTCAGGTTAATGAAAAACTTGAGGAAAAGTTTATTCAGGGGGGACAACATGTCCCTTTTAAAGCAGAATTACATCATAAGAATTGTCAGAGATAACATGAAATAATACATCAATAATTGGTAAGGTGTTAAGTGGTTCATTTAATGCTCTGCCTACTGAGGGTGATGTCACTGGCATCATGGAGGTCTCCCCCAGATTCCAGCACCATCTTGTTAATGAGCATGTTAATCGGTGTTAGAGGGGAAACTCCCTAGCGGCCATTTTAGATAATCACATAGAAAGGTGAATAATGCTGATTGTAATTATGTTGAGTAAATAGACATCTTACTAAAATTAATTGAGCTAATATTTCTGTCCACAACAGTCCCGTCCTAAAAATGACTATTTACAAAAGTAAGATAAGACAGCCAACTACCAGCTGACCATAACAAGGTCCCTAATTTGGCTGCAGCTCATCTGTCTTAACAGGCCACGAACACTTCACTGCGCAGGTATCCCGCAGCAGCTAACCCACTACATCTCCTGCGTCAGACTCCTGCCCATAGAGACAGACACTATCGCTATACTGTCCCTATGACGTGGTTGACGGCACAGAGATCCTGAACCATCCGATATTGGTCCGGTTGGCCTTTCTCAGTTTTCTTTTTTACAGGAAACAGGGGAGTATTACACTGTGAAACACATTTGATTAAAGCTCCTTTCGCAATCAGACTTTCAACCTGCTTGGAGATGGCAAGAGCTTGTGCGTGTTTCAAAGGGTACTGTGGTCACCTTGGCGGGGTAGCTCCTTCTATGAGTGTGACTACCACAGGTGGTACTCGGAGATGGCCAATATCATCAGGGCCGGTAGACCAGAGTTTAGTTGGGATGGTATCCAGCGCACTGGGGGCATCGGGGACCCTTGTTACCTCTGTGGGGGGAGTCATATGCATGAGTAGGGGTAGAGAACAAAGAACTGAAGTGTCCTTACGAGAAAGTGGGGTAAGTAATTGGACCTGACCATCGGCAGTGAAAGAGATGGAAGCCTGAAGGCGAGACAATACATCGGCACCTAAGAGGTTAATAGGGCAGGTAGATGAGACAATAAAACGGGAAAGGATGCTAGAACCAACACGCAAGAGTTTTGTTAATGGGTTATTTCAGGGGGTACCATCAACACTGTCACAAAGACTCCGTTACAAAGACCCGTTACATTGTTATTCCCTGCTTCAGTTTATGGAGACTATTTTAACGGCATTCCGGCCAGGCGAACGGATCATACAAACTATTATAAAGCCTCATTCGTCGGTGCGAACAACCGACCACCCAGCCCTTTGCGTCACCCCGCAAAGTACCGAAGGGCTGACCACCCAGCCCTAGGCGTGTGCTGCCACTTAACCCCGTCACCCCGCAAAGTACCGAATAGACGGCCACCCTGCGAGCGGAGTGTGCCGCTTATCAACCTCCCCTCAGGCATTGCGGCTTGCAGTTAACCGCAGGTTAAGTGTCTCTCCCGGGCGGGCTCCATTTGTACCACGAACGGACGGGACAACCAGATGGGTAGCGGGAATTCACATAATTCTGTACCCGGCCTTCGCTCTATGAATATAGCATCGAGGTCCCGCTGGCCATTGACGTACCCAAAAACATGGCCGCCATCGAGGGCTTAGAATCCAGCTACCGAACAGGACTTGATATAGCAGAAACTTACTGCTCTGTTCGTGGGAGCTGGGCGCAATTCGCACACTTAATGCATCCAGTGCTGAGCTACCGAATGATACGTGGAAAGGACTATATTCGTGTGGAAAACCTAGCCACTTGGACTAAACAGGGACAATATGTCTTAAAGGGTTGCCGGTATATTTTGTGTATGTAACTGTTTGCATCTGCTGTATCCTGCCTGCTATATTACTTGTATTGGATCTGCCGAACACAGATAGTCAGTTTCTATTTCGTTTCACGAACGGCACTTTTGCGAGCCGTTCGTGAACCGAATGAACTATCTGCCAATAGCCCACACACTAAGAGACGTGTGGCGCTTATTAACTGATTGCAACAATGTTGCAATCGGTAATTAGAGGCTCTCCTAGGTGGCCGCCGTTCGACTACCGACCATGCGGCGGTCGGCCATCTTGGATCCTTTGTTCCCCCAGCGGTGTTTGGTCGTCGAGCGCATGGAACTGAAAACGGCTACTCGACGGCGCGAACACCGCTGGGCTTCCAGAGCGTTCGGGAGTCCCGGGACGTTCGGTAATTGTATTCATCTATGTCAATCGGTATTTTTAACTTGTGTTGTGAATAATGTGTTTTTCGTACGGCGTTTGGTTGTTTTAGCTGGGATCTGAGCGGTATTCACACGTACGGTGTGCTCAGACCCCAGCTATCTACCGAACGTCCATTCGTTTAAATCTGTCAAGTATGTAAAAAATTATGGATTTTAAGGTAAATTTTCGGTTCTGTTGCACGGAGGGATAATCCACTTAACGGTACATTCCAGTGGGAGTATCCCTCTCTTGCAGCAGTGGCTGATGGGAGAAAAGCTCTGTACATTAAGTTCCCCATGTAGTCCACTCTGGGAATGCCCCTGGAATAGGACTCAGGAAACCCCTTGCATGGGGACTTGTATAAATTGTGGAGCTGTGAATAAAGACCTCAGTTGACTCCCAGCCTATGTGTCGTCTAGTTCTTGGGAAGGAAAGATTACTACAGTGCTACTTGGATTATTGCATGCTGATTCCCCTGGATTATCCTTTGTTGTTCCTGTTACCCAGCGGAGATATTGTGGATTATACTGCCTCTCCGCTACAATTCGCTTTATAATGGCTGAGTTATATATTTTTATACTGTTTTCTGGAACATAATAAAGCATGGTCGTTGTGGGCGCTTGGAGATAATTAGATTGTATAACCATTGGCTTCATTATCTCCAAGCTGGGCGGGTACTAGTTTGAATGATACACTGTATTATGATTGGTTGAATACTTGTACTGTACCTGTATCCCATCAGGTCCATGGGGGGTGTCCCTGGACCTGGGGACTTGCATAACTTGCCATGCTTGTGTGCCAGTAAAGCCAGTTCGTTTTTGACCCTCAACTCACAGCCTCGACTCGTGTAGGGATCCGGGAATACTAGCACTCCTACAGCTAATGGGATAGTTTACACTTTCAGATACTACCGAATGGAACCACGTTCGACTCTCTGACTCCGGGAACCAGGACATCCAAGCGATCAACCCTCCTGCTAGACCGGGGGCAATTGTAACAATTGGTGGCAGCGGCGGGATAATCCTGGGATTCCTAAGAGAGATACGGAACGGATGGAGAGCAATTACGATAAACTGAAATGCACCACGTTGAAAGATCTGCTCGAGAGCCCAGGTGGGAACGTGAGCAATAGACCAAGGAGAGAATTGATCGCTGACCTGACCGAGATGGACCTGAGCTTCACCAAGGCAGAACCCACGGTACTACCTAACGATAAGAAGACGAGAATTGTCAGGGAAAGGCTCCCCCTATACGGGCCGAACCTTTCCGTGGAATTAGTGAGGCAACTGATGGCGGAGGCAGAAGCGGATATCGAAAGGACTCAAGCCCATGAGCTCAGTCTGAAAACCGCATTACTTGGGACCACCAGCAACGCACACAGCATTTCTACGGAAGCAGCGGGGCAACCGAAACTCCCGTTCTCGGCATTTAAGCCATTCATGGAGAACAAGATGGGGATCGACGAATTCCTAACCAATTTTGAGCCACAGTGTGCTTTGCATCAAATCCCCACAACAACTAAGCCGTGGATACTGGCAGGGAAACTAGCCTGGTGGGCAATGGAGGTGTTCAGGACTCTTAGCACGGAAGACGTCGCTCAATACCAGCTTGTCAAGGACACTTTATTGAGATGGTATGCAGTAACCCCCGACACGTACCGCAGACAATTCCGCGACACTAAAAAGAAGCCGAATGATACCCATCCTGAATGGGCCCACCGAATGCGGAGAGCAGCTACACATTGGATGAATGGGTGTCGAGCAGTCACGGCAGCCGAAGTGTTGGAATTATTTTTACTGGAACATTTTTACGAGGGACTGGAGCAAAAAGACAGAGAGTGGTTAAAGGATCGCCGACCTAGCGATCTCAACGAGGCAGCGAGACTGGCTGACGAACACCGGGACGCTCGGGTCCAGGAATTTAGCAGCTCCCGAATGGCCACTCGCACTGAACCAAGGGACACGTACCGACCAAACCCACGAACGGAGTTTCGCACACCGGTGCCCGCGGGACCTACCCGATTCACTGGACCACCCAACCATTACACACAGGAATGCTCCCGTCCCACCTGCTACAAATGCAAACAGCCATTGCTAACTGCCCCCTCAACAGCAACTATCCCTCGAGGAATTACAATGCAGCTTCCTCAGGAAACAACCGCCCAGCACGCGCTCTCTGTGTCGAACAAGAAAGTCCCCTAGAGGAATATTTGGGACCACTACACAAAGCCAACCCAGTATATGCGGTGAACGACAACCGACAGCACCACAGGCAGGAGGTATTGCTGGAGGGACGCCACACACACTATCACCCTGGTACAAGGCCGACTGGTACCAACACGGCGTTCCACGGACACCTTTGCGGTCCGGGTGGCTGGAAGGGACATTTATAAACTACCCACGGCTCAAGTACATTTGGATTGGGGTGCGGGGAAAGGAATTGTGAAAGTGGGGATCATGGACAATTTGCCAGCCGATGTTCTACTGGGCAACGACCTGGGACCCATGACTTCTGTCTATGCTCCTTCCTACAACTCGGAGGCGCATCCTGTCACTACCCAGTCACAAGCAGGTAGGACTTGAGACCCTTCACCAGTGCGGGAGACTCAGGTAAAACCAAACCCGACTGTGAATATTCACCTGTCCCCATTACCCTGGGATACCCCTGCAGCTTTTGAGGCTGAAACTAAAACCGACCCAACCCTACAGAAATTTAGGGAGAGAGCTGATACAGGGACTGGGGGATCAGACCAAGAGACGTTCGCATGGGAACAGGGCAGACTATACAGACATACCGAAAAGAAAGGGAACCAGAGGAGGCAGCTAGTCATTCCCCACAAGTATAGATGAGATATACTTCGAGTGGGTCATGACATCCCATTAGCTGGACATTTAGCAGTGACCCGTACCCTCAAACAGATCACCCATACCCTCTTCTGGCCAGGAGTGCATGCAGATGTGTGTACATACTGCAACACATGTGAGGTATGCTAATGGGTAGGCAAGAGAGAAGACCACCCTAAGACACACCTCATGAACATGCCCATTATAGAGGAACCCTTTAGCCGGGTAGCCATCGGCCTAGTAGGACCACTCGCCACCCCTTGTCCATCCGGAAAGATATACATTCTTACTGTGGTGGACTACGCTACCCCGAGGCAGTGGCTCTAACCAATATTCAGGCAGACACCGTAGCCTGGGGAGGTTCCCCAGGAAACAACCGGATTCTCTCCGTTCGAACTGCTCTACGGGTGTAAGGTGCAGGGCCCCCTAAACCTGATCCGTGAGCACTGGGAGGGAAAGACAGAGAATGCTGGAGTCTCCATTGTGCCCTATGTACTGGAGCTTAGGGACCGCATGGAGCAACTAGCCAGGTCGGTCCAGGCTAACCTCCAGGTGGCCCAGAAGCGACAGAAAGTCTGGTATGACAGAGGGGCGAGACGAATGAGTTTTTGTGTAGGACAGAAAGTGATGGTGCTTAAACCTGTCAAAGCAGACAAGCTGCAAGCAGCCTGGCAGGGACCGTACCAGGTAGTAGAGAAAAGAGGGGGCACTACCTACGTGATTGCCAGCTGTCACGACGAGAACTTAAGGAAGATATTCCATGTAAATATGTTAACGGAATATCTTCAACGACCCGAAGATATAGCGGCCATATGTAGCCCGGCAACCAATAGTCTGCCCATACCCGACTTGCTTATCCAGGAAGACCCATCAGATCTAGTGGGCCAAGTGCAGATAGGGGACCGACTGAATCCAAAAGAGAGGGAGCAGTTACACACACTGCTCCAAGAGAAACAGGCCATATTCTCCCAGAAACCCAGGTACACCAACTTAGCCACTCACCAAGTGGACACCCCAGGGCAGCAACCTTTAAGACAGGCCCCCTACTGCATTCCTGAGGCGGTCCGAGCAGGGATGAAAAAGGAGATAGACGAGATGCTCAAACTAGGGGTTATTGAATCCTCCGATAGTCCCTGGGCATCCCCGGTAGTACTGGTCCCCAAGAAGGATGGTACTACCCGCTTCTGTGTGGACTATCGGAAGCTTAATGATAAGACCGTGACCGATGCATATCCCATGCCCAGAGTGAATGAATTACTGGATCGCATAGCCAGGGGAAACTATCTAACCACCATAGACCTCTGTAAAGGTTATTGGCAAACTCCTCTGGCCAGGGAAGCTATCCCCAAGTTGGCATTCATCACCCCCTTTGGCTTATACCACTTTACGGTTATGCCATTCGGGATGAAGAATGCCCCTGCTGCATTCCAGCGTTTGATGGATAGACTCCTTGATAGCTTCCAGGATTTTGCATGCGCATACCTGGATGACATAGCCAGTGGCGTACTAAGGGTGGGGCGGAGGAGGCGGTCCGCCTCAGGTGCCAGCAGGGTGGGGGGTGCCTTGGGAGGGGGCGCCGCCCCCCCCATGCTGCAGCCACCCGAGCGCTCTGTAGAGAGCCTCAGGCGGCTGCAGCTTTGCCCGGGCGGTGTGTCCATGAGGGCGGACCACCCGGGCGCAGCCTGAGGAGAAGGGCTAACAGGAGGGAAGCGCTCAGCGCTCCCTCGTGTCACTCCCTCTGTTGTAGCGTGGCCGAGCCCAGTATAGTCCGCGGGTACAGGGAGCAGCTGCACTTCCTGTTAGTCCGGCCGGGTACAGGAAACAAAAGCTCCCTGTACCCGCGGACCATAGAGCGCTCGGCCACGCTACAACAGTGGTAGGGGGGAGGGGAGAAAGAAATTAGGAGGAGGTGGGGGGGGAGAAAGAAATTAGGAGGTGGGGGGGAGAAAGAAATTAGGAGGAGGTGGGGGAGGAGAAAGAAATTAGGAGGAGGTGGGGGGGGAGAATGACATTCATCACACACACATACACACATCCACAAGCAATGCAACCATTACACATACAGAAACACACAATGCATTCATTACACACACTCAATGCATCCCGTACATACACAGAAACACACCTTGCAGCCCTTACACATACAAACACAGTTTCACACAATGCATTCCTTACACACATATCAGGACATCCCCTACACACTCCACCCCCTGTGAACAAACTCATTGGTGGAACATGAAGGTGGACCCTGGGACCCAGACCTTGAGCTGTGTAAAGGGCCCCCAAAAAATGGAGCTGCTTCCCGTTCTCCCAGAACATAGATTTTTGTGACCACAGTTACAAACCGCCTCCAGAGAGCCTGTTCTACACCAGACCAGTGGAGCCAGACTGCAGCTAGAGCCCATCATCATCCTCATCTGGTTGTAAGTAGGCAATTTAGTATATTATTCGTGGCACTAAGCTCAAATTTACCTCACATGAAAGAAACACTATAGTCCCCAGAACCACTGCAGCTTAATGTAGTGGTTCTGTGTCTATAGCCTGTCCCTGTGGCGGCACTGCAGCACTGGCGTTAGTTAACATGGCAAATCATATGGGTGGGGCATTGTGATGTCACATGGGGGGGGCGGCAAACTTTATTTTTGCCTAGGGCGGCAAAAATCCTTGCACCAGCCCTGGGTGGAGGGGGCTGTGTGAGCTG